CACACACACTCTGACACACACACTCTCACACACACACACACACACACACACACACACACACACTCACTCACACACACACTCTGTCTCTCATACACACACTAAGCTTCACTGATGACAGTTCAAGGGTAATATGCAATGGCACGGCTGGCAGAGCGTCTCTGATTCAGGAGATTATTTCACATTCTCTGCCATGCTGCTGCTGCTGCCGAGGATAAGATACAAACAGCTGTCAGACAGACTGTGCTTCATTCAGATTGTGCTGAGAGCGTCACTCTCAATCCACTAATCCTGAGAGATCTCTACTCACCTTGCACTGCTTATATGCTAGAAAGACCCGCTTAACCAGTTATAGCTCCACTTCCCAATGCTTCACTAGTTAATGAGACCACAGAAATATGGAACCAACACAAAACCAGTCATAAGGGTCAATCTTTTTAAATTGAGATTTATGCATCATCTGAAAGCTGAATAAATAAGCTTTCCATTGATGTATGGTTTGTTAGGATAGGAGGACATTATTTGAAAATCTGGAATCTGAGGGTGCAAAAAAATCAAAATATTGAGAAAATCATCTTTAAAGTTGTTCAAATGAAGTTCTTAGCAATGCATATTACTAATCAAACATTAAGTTTTAATATATTTACAGTAGGAAAGTTACAAAATATCTTCATGGAACATGATCTTTACTTAATATCCTAATGATTTTTGGCATTAAAAAAAAATCAATAATTTTGACTATTGACTATCGTTGACTATTGCTACAAATATTTTTTATGTTTATATGGTTTTTATTTGTTATTCTTTATTATTGACTTACTTTCTGTCTATTCTCATTAAATACATTTGTATGTGAACCTCAGAGCTGGTGTTATTTTAGTCACTTTGATTAGTTTTTGTTAATACTTTGAATTCAAATTTGTTATATTTTCTGTTTTCCTTTTCATTTTAGTCATCATTTTACTATTTTTTTATTTTTTGTGTGTGCTACTTTCTTTATTAAGTTATTTTAGTGCTTCAACCTAAAACAAAAATAGTAAAAGAAACAAATACACACACATGCATGTACATGTTTAAGAAAAATATGTTATGTTTATATAGTAAATATATTTATATATAATATAAATTATATGAACATAAATATATTTTGAAAATATATACATGTAAATATTTTCAAAATATATACTGTATGTGTGTGTATTTATAAATACATAATAAATATAGACAGAACACACACATATATTATGAAAACAACCACTTTTATTTTGGATGAATTTTTGGATTAAGTCGGCTGATTTCTTTTTTCACTTTCTCTACATTGTCATTCATTCACAACAAGCCCAAACACTGGAAAATATGTGTTTATTTGGTAGCCATTAATAGAGTGAAATATCAGCTACACATAAATCGCATACTATCCAGAATATTTTTAAAATGTAAAATATGCATTTTTGCATCACATTTGCATATATTATTCAGTCAATGCATAATACAGAAATTAGGTGTTCGTAGATTCTGTCAAAAAGAAAGAAGTAAAATACAATATACTAATAAAACAAATGCATGCATATATATAAAAAATTCATAGTCAACATACAGCAAGATGCTTTGCTTGCAGAACGAGCTGATTATTTCAGCTTCACAGCTTTTATATAATATGGTTAACAAATACATTAATATATTTGCATATCATGTTACTAGAAAAACAATGCATATTAGATGTAGCATACGCTATACAAACTCAAGTGCAACGCACTTTACAGATAAAAGGGGTCATAGGATGCCCATTTTCCACAAGTTGATAGTCCAGTCTGTGCTGAAACACTACTGTCAATCAAACTATCGTGGGAGGGGCCTGTCTGTGTGACGTCACTCAGGGCGGAGCTAAGATAAGGCGCCAGTCCAGTCTGTGCTGAAACACTACTGTCAATCAAACTATCGGGGGAGGGGCCTGTCTGTGTGACGTCACTCAGGGCGGAGCTAAGATAAGGCGCCAGTCCAGTCTGTGCTGAAACACTACTGTCAATCAAACTATCGGGGGAGGGGCCTGTCTGTGTGACGTCACTCAGGGCGGAGCTAAGATAAGGCGCCAGTCCAGTCTGTGCTGAAACACTACTGTCAATCAAACTATCGGGGGAGGGGCCTGTCTGTGTGACGTCACTCAGGGCGGAGCTAAGATAAGGCGCCAGTCCAGTCTGTGCTGAAACACTACTGTCAATCAAACTATCGGGGGAGGGGCCTGTCTGTGTGACGTCACTCAGGGCGGAGCTAAGATAAGGCGCCAGTCCAGTCTGTGCTGAAACACTACTGTCAATCAAACTATCGGGGGAGGGGCCTGTCTGTGTGACGTCACTCAGGGCGGAGCTAAGATAAGGCGCCAGTCCAGTCTGTGCTGAAACACTACTGTCAATCAAACTATCGGGGGAGGGGCCTGTCTGTGTGACGTCACTCAGGGCGGAGCTAAGATAAGGCGCCAGTCCAGTCTGTGCTGAAACACTACTGTCAATCAAACTATCGGGGGAGGGGCCTGTCTGTGTGACGTCACTCAGGGCGGAGCTAAGATAAGGCGCCAGTCCAGTCTGTGCTGAAACACTACTGTCAATCAAACTATCGGGGGAGGGGCCTGTCTGTGTGACGTCACTCAGGGCGGAGCTAAGATAAGGCGCCAGTCCAGTCTGTGCTGAAACACTACTGTCAATCAAACTATCGGGGGAGGGGCCTGTCTGTGTGACGTCACTCAGGGCGGAGCTAAGATAAGGCGCCAGTCCAGTCTGTGCTGAAACACTACTGTCAATCAAACTATCGGGGGAGGGGCCTGTCTGTGTGACGTCACTCAGGGCGGAGCTAAGATAAGGCGCCAGTCCAGTCTGTGCTGAAACACTACTGTCAATCAAACTATCGGGGGAGGGGCCTGTCTGTGTGACGTCACTCAGGGCGGAGCTAAGATAAGGCGCCAGTCCAGTCTGTGCTGAAACACTACTGTCAATCAAACTATCGGGGGAGGGGCCTGTCTGTGTGACGTCACTCAGGGCGGAGCTAAGATAAGGCGCCAGTCCAGTCTGTGCTGAAACACTACTGTCAATCAAACTATCGGGGGAGGGGCCTGTCTGTGTGACGTCACTCAGGGCGGAGCTAAGATAAGGCGCCAGTCCAGTCTGTGCTGAAACACTACTGTCAATCAAACTATCGGGGGAGGGGCCTGTCTGTGTGACGTCACTCAGGGCGGAGCTAAGATAAGGCGCCAGTCCAGTCTGTGCTGAAACACTACTGTCAATCAAACTATCGGGGGAGGGGCCTGTCTGTGTGACGTCACTCAGGGCGGAGCTAAGATAAGGCGCCAGTCCAGTCTGTGCTGAAACACTACTGTCAATCAAACTATCGGGGGAGGGGCCTGTCTGTGGGACGTCACACAGACAGGCATCTGAGATTGGCTCGATTTGAGAAAGGGGAAAACATTTAACCAGATTTTTTAAAAATCACTGGGTGGATTTTTATTATTACAGGGTTGTTGTGTACACACACTGCCAACACACATTTCAGTTCAAACAACTTGTAAAAGGGCATGTAGCATCCGATGACCCCTTTAATATTTCAGATGAGTTACAGATGAGCTTCACCAGCAGAGGGCGCGCTTGTCTGAACTTTTACTGACTCTTCTTTGTGTCCCACATGACATACTATAAAATATGCACTTTAACTTTGTGCTGCCTACTTTCTAGACTAGTGTGTGAGTGTCATAAGGTTGTTTTGTCATCCAGCAGCACGAGAGTCTGAGCTCTGTCTGCTAACTAAACAAAGCTGCAGCTGTCGAGTGTGCATCAGTGTCCAACATTTGCACGCTTTGTTTTTCAGTCAAATAAGTGCATGATCCTGTGAAGTGCACTGTGAACAAAGTACTAGTGATACTGGCATAGAATAATGCATATATTACTAGTCAGAAGTATTTTTAAAAGGACTTTTAATTTTTTTTTGTTTTTTTAAAGAAGTCTCTTATGCTCACCAAGGCGGCATTTGTTTAATCAAAAACACATAAAAAATTTAAAGTGTCTTTTTTTCCCTTACTTAGCCCAAGCCTTTAAATGGTAATGTTTCCACAAGAATAACAAGCAGCAATAACGATTGATAATAATCAGAAGTGTTTCTTAAGCAGCAGATCAGCATATTATACTGATTTCTGAAGATCATGTGACACTGAAGACTGGAGGAATGATGCTGAAAATACAGCTGCGCATCACAGAAATACATTACAGTTTAACAGAGATTCAAGTAGAAAGCAGTTATTGTAAATAGTAAAAATATTTCACAATTTTACTGCTTTTGCTGTACTTTGGATCAAATAAATGCAGGCTTGGTGAGCAGAAGAGACTTCTTTCAGAAACATTAGAAATTGAGATATGCCCAACATCACTGGTGAACACACCTCACTGAAAAGTGAAAGATATACAAATAAAAGTGAAACGCATGCAAATAAATGGAGAAAATGCCATGCCTCAAAGACCCACGGAGGAATCGCGCTCATGTTTTCTCAGAACGATCAAAGCCCTTTTGTTGGTGAAGAAGCTTCAGCTCTTCACATCTTCATCCGCTTGGTTTTCCTGAGAAAGAAAGATTCATTTCAGTTCATCGTCATCATCTTCTTCTCTTGGTGGAGACTCACATTTCAAAGGCCTCTAAATAATGATCAGCACGATCCAAACATACTTTTTCAGCGAGCAAAAGGTCTTTCAGTATAACTGTCCCCCTAACCATAAAAATAACTTTAATATTGTTATTAATATTTCAAGACAAACACTTACTCAAGCAACTTAGGTTGACTTGATTCTCCACACATTACATTTTGTGCGTGCAATTGTGTGTAAAGTTTTTTAAAAAAGAGGCAAAGTTTAAAAAATGTAAGCAGTTGAAAAAAACTGACATTTAGTTGCAAAGATACTTACTGTAATGTCTAAAGTGGACTATCAAAATAAAGTGTTACCCATTTTTATATCAATATGGTACAAAATTATCCTATTTAAATCAATGTGATAGATGAGTAAGGTCAAAAGCAATCGAAAAGCTGTCTGATTATATTACCTAAATATGTGAAGTCAATTTTTTGTCATGCAATTTGGAATCAGTAACGGATTACACTTTAGGAGTACCTGTTGTTGCAGCACAGTGGTTTATTGGATTCCGATTCCGTGCGGCATGAAGGTCCTCTTTTTAAGTTGCGTCTTCGCCAGGAGATCTCTTTGTATGGATTTCTCTCATTATCTTGGATTTCACCTGTTATGTTTTATAAATGCAACAGATGGATGATTAGGTTTTACAGTGTATTGTGCAGAGTCAGCAGACACGGTAACTATTCACAAAATACAATATTCCTCTCGCAAACATTACCTTTTTTCTCATCTGAGTAACAGATTTGAAAAACCGGACTCTGTTTTTCTGTGATGATCACTTTGACCTCATTTTTAACACACAGGTACTTTTTGGGTTTAGCCACTGATTCCAGACTCCTCCAACCTCCAGAGATCTCTTGCTCACCCCACTTAAATAAGAACGTTTCATCAAAGGCCTTTCCCGTAATCAGCTTGTCTGTGAGTAAAGCCTGCGTGTGAAAGCCAGCAGACATGATTATATAGAATCAGAAATTATCAAATAAGAAAGTATTTGGCAATAAGCGATTTCTTTGCAATTCAGTGTCTGAGACATTACCTTAAATTTGACCTCTTCACCGTTAGTAACAAAAGGGAAAACAGACTTATTTTCCACCTCAAAGCCAAAAGCCATGCATTGTCTGGTTCTATTATACAATATATGATACACCTTGACTGAAGAAGACAAGACAAATCATATTGCTGGAATTAGAATTAAATCATTATGCAAAACACTTTCATGAAACGTACAGTTGAAAAACAAAACAAAACAGAACTTTACTGTACAAAACAAGAAACTACAAATGACATCACAGTACATACAGTAATGACTGCGACACAGACAGATCACAGCACAGGTTCAGACTTTTACCTGAGTTCCCAGGGTTGAATTTCTGTTCATTCTTTGCAACCAGCTGATGAGAACGATTGGGCCTCAGCCTGCTTTGAATGCACAAAAGCTTTCCACAGCTGGTCGACAGGTGCGCCGGTTTAATCGAGCTGATGTTCATTTTTGGAAAGCTTCTTCTGGACACTAATAGACAAAGATATCCATAGACAAACAGGTCATACAGACTGTAACAGCAACAACATTTAAAAAAAACAAAACAGCAAAAATGGCATTTTAATGGATATCAAAGGCACTATGCACAACAAACATGGAAATAATCTGTCGTAATGATCAGTTATTATTATAATCGTCATCTAACTAATTGGAAACAAAACATTCATTAAAAAGCATATCACCAAACCTCACATTGCCGCACTGGAAAACATACAGCCTAATGCAAGCAGCCACATGCATTCCAAATCCGTGTTGTTTCTAACAAATAAGGTTCCCTAAAGCAGGGCTGGACAACTTCGGTCCTGGAGGGCACCAGGGAACCAGACAAATCTTGGGAAAGATTTTGGGATCAAATGCAAATGTATTTCAGCACATCTCATCACAGCATTCCAAAAAACAAAAACACACTAAACACTGCACTTGTGGAAAGTTACAGATGTGTTTCTCTTTTCCCATTCGTAACATCAAGTATCACCCATTCTTTCTCAGAGTAACCAGCTGGATGACAACCCATCAGGTTTTAAAAGCAGTCACTCAACTGAGACTGCCTTGCTGACGGTCACTGAAGCTCTGCGAATTGCAAAAGCTGATTCTAAGTCATCGGTATCCAAAGCACATCAACTGATCACAGGGGTTCCTCAGGGTTCAGTCCTTAGACCGCTCCTCTTCTCCATATACACTTCATTGCTGGGACCCCTTATGCAGGCGCATGGTTTGTCCTAGCATTTCTATGCTGATGACACACAGTGGCACAAATCTAGCGGACAACTCATTATGGATGAAGGAACATCATCTGCAGCTCAGACTGGCAAAGACCGAGCTTCTCGTCTTCCCTGCCACTCCGACTCTACAGCACAATTTCACCATCCAGCTAGGTTCATGAGCAACAATCTTATTAAGCTCCGTTAGAAATCTTGGGGTAAACTTTGATGACCTTCATTTCATTTAACCTTTATTTAACCAGGCATATACGTATAGACATATACAACCATACACAAGAGGCACATAAAACAAAACAAGCAAACAAAAAATCTCAGTTAAATCATTTACAGGTTAAAGTAAAAGCACTCACTACACTGAAAAAAAAAGATACTAAATTTTTTAAGGTAAGTGGTTGCAAACAATTTATTTTAGCTACATTTCAATAAAAAAAATGTTGAAAGTTAGTCAACTAAATGTATTTAAATGTAGCTATAATAAATTGATTGCAACCACTTACCTTTATTTTTTTTTAGTAAATTTAATGAATAATTTTTTACAGTGTAGCATTTTTAAATGCACAGACTGAAATATTTGTCTCTAGTTTCAATCGCTTTTGTAGCACATTCCAATCGTTTTGGGGCAGCAAATTCAAAAGCAGAATGACCATAAGTAGTTTTCTTTCTAGGGATATTCAAGGAAATATAATTAGATGATCTAGTTGTATACATGTTAATATGAAGTTGCAGCAACTTTGAAGATATTCAGATAATACTTCAACGACTATACTGCAAGAACAGAATGATTCTGCTGGTTTTAGCTGCTGCGCAACAGTCATTTCTGTGCTGGACTATTGCAATGCTCTTCTGACTGGACCATCATGTGCTATCAAACCTCTACAATAATTCATGTATGTTGCTGCACTCTCTGCCCTGACTACCAATTAAGTCACTGATGCTTGCATACAGAACATGCACGGTCTACATCCCCTTCAGAAGCCCGAGCACGAATCCTTTACACTATTCAAGAAACAACTGAAAACTCTTCCATCAGCAATAAAATCTCTTCATTTACTCATTTCACTATGTCCCTTATGGGCTCTGCACTACAGAGGTGCACATGTCCTCTGCAGTACCCCTTAGTTGTGGTAACATTTCATTTTAATTAATAATAATTTTAAAAAACACAGCCTCTCACGGTTTATTGCGTGTGTAAAACAGTAAAAAAGGTCATAAAATACGCATTCAATAGTTAACGTTTACTTATTTTGCCAAACATCACAGTTCATATATATATATATATATACACACAGTGTCGGGGGTAACACATTACAAGTAACGTGAGTTACGTAATCAGATTACTTTTTTCAAGTAACTAGTAAAGTAACGCATTACTTTTTAATTTACAAGAGAATATCTGAGTTACTTTTTCAAATAAGTAACGCAAGTTACTTTTGTTTCCAATGTATTGATTGACAGCTCTGGTGTTGCCATGGTGACAGAAATCAGAAGATGTTACTGTAGTTCTAAAATAAATATGAATATGCATTAATTCATCTCACTCACAAAAAAACAAACAAACACAGATTCAGTATTCCTCAAAATGAATAAAAATAATGCAACTCAGAATATGACGCAAACCTGCAATAATTAAATATTAAACAACACAAATATGCTTTATGTATTTAATCCCATTCTATTAACCAATGTCTTTGCTTCTGAGCTTCGATGATTCAGTTCAAGCGTACTAATAAACACAAATTACTCTAGACAAACATTTGTGTCTTTGTTTATTGCTGAAGTGTTGAAATGTCGTCTTCTGTATTCTACTGTACTTTCCCTTCAGCCTGAGGCTTATTCATTTCACTTCTGGTGTGAAAGGCTTTTATATTTGCCAAAAACAGAACTTTTTTATTTTAAAAACAAACAAGCAAGCCCTGTCCAGATTTAAAAAGTAACGCAAAAGTAACGTAATGCATTACTTTCCATAAAAAGTCACTAAGTAACATAATTAGTTACTTTTTTATGGAGTAACGCAATATTGTACACTCTTAAAAAAAAGGGTTCTTTGGGGTTCTATATAGAACCCTAGGGTTCTTTACTCAACTCCAAAGAACCCTCTATGCCAAACATGAATTCAAACCAAGAAGAACAAAGAGAGAAGCTGATGGAGATGTTAACATTTTTTCTGTGAGTATTTGTGGTTTGCCGTATAGTAAAATATAATTATTTGTTTTGCTGAAGTAATTGTATATTATTCTAAACACACTGTATTTGGTTGTTGTAGATGTTCATCTTTCTCAGAGAGCACTTTTAAAGTTTTACCACCACCTTATCAGCGTGCTGAAAAGTGGAAGTCAGAGGAAACGTGACCAGCTTGCTGCAAAACAATAACACAAAAGGTACATTATTTATTTTTCCTCACAGTACCAACTTTGGGAAACGCATCAATCAGCTAATCTGAAGTTACTGATATATTTTTTTCTTCTTCTATTTTCCACATTTTATCATGCAGGTTCTTATGATTGATTGATTGATAAATAAATTCATATTTTGTACTGTCACTGCAGGTCTGGACTATGGAGTGCAGCATTACTTGTTTGGTCATCTACATTCAGATGAAAACGCCACACTCCTCTCTAATTCAAGTAAGTTTTAAGATTTGATTTAATTTAATTTTTTTTAAATAAAAAGAGTGCTATTTTAGAGAAGTAAAAACAATAAAAAGTATGAATAAATAAAGAAAAATGGATTTATGTTAATCCCTGTAACTGTTGCACTATGAATTGCTGTGTTATATATTGCTTGTCATTGTAAACGCTAATAAAAGTGTCTTGAATGATCACACAACACCTTGATGTGTTATGCTTATTTCAGTTTTTCTAGTGATAAAGTAGCTATATGGGCTGTTTAAGTCTTAACATTTTATTAAAATAAAACAAAAATTAAATCCAAAGAATAATCCCATGATGGGAACCCCTAAAGGGTTCTATATAGAACCCTTTTCCAGGCTACAAAGAACCCTTGAAAAGGGTTCTATATGGAACCTTTTAGGGGTTCCATATATGAAGTGCCTGATAGAACCTTTTAAGGTTCTCTATAGAACCGTTTCTTCTAAGAGCATTACTTTTAAAAGTAACTTTCCCCAACACTGGTTATATATATATATATATACACACACTCACACACACACTCTCTCTCTCACACACACACACACTCTCTCTCTCTCACACACACACACTCACACACACACTCTCTCTCTCACACACACACACACACACGCATACTCACACACACACACACACTACCGGTCAAAAGTTTGGGATCAGTAAGACTTGTAATGTTTTTTAAAGAAGTCTCTTATGCTCTTATGCGCATTTATTTGATCAAAAATATAGAAAAAAAATTCAAAATGTTATTACAATATAAAATAATGGTTTCTATTTAAACTGTAATATATTTCTGTGATGTGCAGCTGTATTTTCAGCATCATTCCTCCAGTCTTCAGTGTCACATGATCTTCAGAAATCAGTATAATATGCTGATTTATTATCAGTGCTGAAACTGTTGCTGCGTCATGTTTCTTTGGAAGCTGTGATACTTTTTTTCAGGATTCTTTGATGAATAAAAAGTTAAAAAGAAGAGCATTTATTTAAAATAGAAATATTTTCTAACAATATACACTAGCGTTCAAAAGTTTGGGGTCAGTTTTTTTTTCAGTCATTTTTATTCTTTATTCTTTTGAAAGAAATTAAAACTTTTATTCAGCGAGGATGTGTTCAATTGTTAAGAAGTGACAGCAAAGATTTATATTGTTAGAAAAGATTTATATTTTGAATATATCAAAGAATCCTGAAAAAATATCACAGTTTCCAAAACAATATTTGTCAGCACAACTGTTGATAATTCTAATAATAAATCAGCATATTATACTGATTTCTGAAGATCATGTGACACTGAAGACTGGAGGAATGATGCTGGAAATACAGCTTTGCATCACATGAATATATTATATTTTAAAGGATATTAAAATAGAAACCATTATTTTATATTGTAATAACATTTTGCAAGTTTACCGTTTGTTTCTGTATTTTTGATCAAATAAATGCAGCCTTGATGAGCAGAAGAGACCTCTTTAAACACATTACAGTCTTACTCCCCAGCAAGCAATAGCCGTCATTTCAGTCTCGGTTAATCACGTTCGCAGTGTCAATAATATCGACAAAGATATACAGTAAGTGTCATTCATGGCATGCTCTATATGTAGCGAAATCGAGGCAATCTGTGTCTAATTTTAACAGCTAGCTATAGCCCTATACCAGTAACCAGACCAGCGAAGAGCATGGCCAAAATAGCCTTAAAGTTGTTTACATGTCATTTTAGCTCACGCAGCTTCTTATCAAATGCAAGTAAACTTTTGAATCATTTAGGCTAAATTAGCATTATTTTATATAATTATTTTACAGCATTATTAAACATAGCATCATTTATTATGCCAAAAATAATGCTAATTTAAATGTTTCAAAAGTTTACTTGCATTTGATGATATGATGCCATGCATCCCACAAGCTGTTACATGTTACATTCATACACATTATACGATATTCGACTGTCTTTCCCAGCAAGCA